AGTCCCCGTGCCGCTCTGAGGTAAACTCTGATGCGGACTTTCATTCACTGAGCCACCGCCAACACGCAGCCACCCATGGCTCCCTCAGCAGCAGGAGGCTGAGCAGAGAGCGACGAGGGAGGGAGCAGTGGGGGGGGGCTTTGGCAAGCTTGTGGGGCTCGTGCTGAGGATGCAGCTGAAGCTGGACTTCCTCTTGTACACGGGGCTGCTGCTCGGCTCCTTCCTGGAGCCGCTGCTGTTCTGGTCATCGCTCTCACCCTGCACCAAAGACCCTAGCCTGGAGGACAGGATCCAGGTGAGTCGCTGCTTCCCGGCTGAGGGAAGGCAGAGGATGAGACGGGGTCTCTGTGCCCGAACGGACGGTAAACCTCCCCCTCCCACCCCCAGCAACAACCCTTCACTGCCTGCTGCCCACCCGCTTCAGAGGCGCTGGCTGAAGACCTCTTTCTCTCTGCCTGGGTGCCTTCCTCTTCAAGCCTGGGCCAGCGGGCTGGGAGGGGGTGGCTTGGGCGGCAGCAGCGGCTGCTGTCCCTGCCCAGGCTGAGGCCTGTGGTGTTACCGAGGCCTGAGGAAGGGGGGGAGCAGCGAGGGGGCCAGCATGGAGTGGTGGTGGTGCTTGGGCCCTCTTCCCACAGCGGGGACTGTGGCCGTGGGGGCTCCTGACTCCGGCTCTTTCTTCTTCTTCTCCCCACCCCCGTGGCGGTTCATATTTTTTCCCCAAAATATAGTCCAGCCCCCCACAAGGTCTGAGGGACAGTGAACTGGTCCCCTGCTGAAAAAGTTTGAGGACTCCTGCTATAGATGGCTACTAGCCTTTGTGGCATACTCTGTCTCCACAAGTCCAGCGGGTGTATTCCCATTTTCCTCCCACTTGCTTCATGAGCACATCTATGCGCATGTGAAAAGCCATAAGCTCTCATGGAGCCATGTAGCCCAGACACAAATTACGAACTATCCATTGTTTGGCAAAGGTTATGGCAATTCTGAGTTGGAAATGTCTCCCTTCCTTTGCAGAGAACTACAGTTCCTATAATTCCCTGAAGAGTGAGAGTATTATTATTATTTATTTGCAAAAAAATGTCTATACCGCCAAGATTAGGGGGGGACATCATGGTGGAGAACATAATAAAACAACACTAAAATTACCAGTAACAGCTCAGAAGAATGCATCAACATAGCTGGTTCACACCTCAGAGTAAGGATGGAGAAACCTGTCAATGCTGTTTTTTCTCGGTTTCTCATTTTCCCAGTCTCAAATTAAATCCCCCACATTTCCACATCGGTTTGTGATTACTTGTTTAAAGGCCTCATGAAAATTCAGTAGCAGTTTAGTGCACATGCCTCCCAAAATACACGTTTTTGCAAAGCAGTATTCCCCAGTATAATGATTTTTTGGCATTTCCTTAACGCTGCCTTTAAAAAAAAAAAGAATAACCCAGTGCAACAGAATTTAGCAAAAGCTAATTCAAGGGGAAGGTGATTGCATCCCTCTTTTCTCCTCATTTGGTCACCAAAGATTCAATTTCATTTCATTTAAATGTGTGAAACCTAGTTAGCTTTTTTCCTCTCTCCACCAAATAACATTAGACTTCAAATATATGTGTGTGTGTATGCGAACGGCTGCGTCTTTGCTGAAGGCAATTAAAAACCTCTCGTGTGAACTGATCAAATTAAATAAAGCTTCTGTGCTGTTGAGATTCATATCTACTGATGTGCCAACATTTATTCCACAGTGCCGTATTTATTTGTCAAGGCAGGCAAGGTCAGCTGGGCTTCCTTGCTCTGGCAGCTACCTAGGAGGGAAACAGGCTGGATTCTCCCTAAGAAAAAGAAACAAAAACCATGGATGCTGAAATTTCGCCTTCCGGTTTCCCTTCCTGCCCAGCTCAGAGCAGCTGGCCTTGCTAGATTCCACCAGATGGCATTCTTTCTCCAGTGAAAAGAGAAACAGACTGTCTTCCTCCATCCTCCAATCACCTCTGAGCCTCTGGGTTTATGTTTTCTTTTTCTTCCCCCTGCTCTAAAAGAGAGGGTTTAAACTACCGCCAGCCTGCCAGTATCTTATTTGGCAGGTAAAGGCAAGGTAAAATAATAATCTTAAAAGAAATGGACAGACCCTGTTGAGCGTTTGATAGGTGTCAAACTGTAACCTGAAGAACAAATGTTGGAAAGTTCCCAGGAGTAAAACTGCTCCTGGATTGTATCTCTCCAGACTGCAGGGTGGGGATTGCTCATTTCCAGGCTGCACAACTTTCAGGGAGAATCAAAGATCTCTCTGTGTGTGGAGGCTGCACACTCTAAAACAGTGAAGTCCAAGAACAGTTGTGCAAGTCAGGGCTTTGAGAGTGGTATGTACTAAAAAAACAACAACCCTAGGGAAACTGTATTTTATAGTAAGCTGGACCCACTGAGCTCCATGCTGTCTACTGTGCTGTTTGACAGTGGCTCTCCAGGGTTTCAGACAGGGCTGTACTTCAGCCTTATCTGGAGATACAGGAGACTGGACTTTTTTTCTCTTCCACAAAGCCATCTCTATTTCCAACAGGAGGGAGTGAGGAAACACTGGGGTCTAGCCTTCCCAGAGCATACTCCAGAGAGGAGTGGGGTGTTGCTTTCTGTATGAGTGTAAGAAGCCACTTTAATTTGTATTGGACTATTGCTTCAGGTCATTTTGCACAGTCTAGCTCAGGAATTCCTCTGCAGCTTGTCTTCTTCTTTGGCGATCACTCGTAGCTGAGTAAGAGAGTCTTCCATAAAGATGGTTTTAACAATGAGTCCGTAGGTGACTGTGGAGGCCAATTCTGGATCCACATGTCCTTCCACAGTCAGGACATTGGTTTCTGGGTGGGAGTTGATCATGGTGAGGGTTTGCCAAGTGTGCCTTCCTCTCAGCACGTTTCTCCCTTGCGTCCTAAGTTTGAGTGTCTTCAAAGCCCACGACACCTTTGGTAAAGGCTGTTATCTAACTGGAGCACTTGCAGGCCAGTGCTTCCCACTTGTCAGTGTTTATACTACATTTTAAAAATTTGTCTTGAGGCAGTTTTTAAACCTCTTTTGTTGACCACCAGAGTTATGTTTTCCATTTTTAAGTTCAGAATGGAGTAGTTGCTTTGGAATCAGGTATCTGAACAACAGCTTGTATTTCTTCATTCACAACCCAAATAATCAAAATCCTACCATTTTTTAATTTCTAGGGTTTTGGGGGGCTCTCCCCAAATCTATAACAGTCATTTTGGCATCTAAGGCAGAGAATTGCCCAAGCCCCTCTTCCCAGTGCTACAGTATAACAATAAAGACTAAAATAAGACTGCAATTCTGTGACACTCATTAGCTGTCTGTGGCAGGAATGGGTCTAGGAATCCATAAACTTTTTCAGGGCTGTGTACACATTACTGCTTACTCCAACTCCAGTTCATTCCAGCTAGGCGTGTTTGAAGCTGAGTACTGTAGATGGAGGTTAACATCTGATGTTAGCCTCAATCCATATGTAGCCTGAGGTTTTTTTGAGAAATACCCTTGTTTGATATGTGTTCCCCTCAAACCAGCCTCCATCTGATTTGAAATCTGAACCCATCATTACACTGAGGTGTATAGATCTGTTGCACATGTGTAGATGACAGCTTCATGGATTAGGAGTGGTGGGAGAGGTTGTGGAATGAAACGAAACAGATCAGGTAATGCGCATCAGGTGAAAACCCCTCTTTGCTGTGTACAGGGGGGGAAATGTGACTTGAAATGTAGCAAAGAGAACCGGCCTTACTGTGTTTTAAGCCGTTAATGTATGCTTGTAGAAAAGGGAAATTTAGCAGAGTGCTGTTGTTTTCAGAGACAAAAGAACAAGGGCACAAATGCAGCTGTAAGGAGAACACCAAAAAACAATGAAGACAGATGCTCAGGCAGACTGGTAGTTCCCAATGCATACTTTGAAAAGGAAAGGGGAAAAGTTGCTTCATTGAGGGAAGTTTATTTGGATGTGTAAAATATCTTGGAAAAAGCTCTGTGTTGCTGTACCAAAGAAATTTCCCCAATAGAGAGGAAAAATGCTTTGGGAACTGCCAATCTGCAGAGCTATTTCCCCCTTCCTTCCAGATGTTCTTGTCGCTGTACAATGCATTGCACCTGTCACAAATCTCCTCTTGTGTGCAACTGCAAAGGTACAGGAGTCCGTTGCATCTGCGAGGAGGAATGAGAACCGAGTAGGGCAGGTCTGCTCCAATAGCATAATCCTAGCCATGACTACTCAAAAGTAAGACTGCAGAGTTCAATGGGATTTACTCACAGATAAGTGGGTGGAAGATTGCAGCCGCAGTGACTTTCATATGTCATTCCTCCATTATGTTGCTTTGTTGTACATTGAGCAGACTGGAGCAGGATTTTCTTACTTTTGTTCTGAATGTTTGTTCACATATTTGTTTTCTACTTCAACTTTACCCTTTATGTACTAAGATGAGCCTTGCTGGATCAGACCAAAGGGCCATCCAGTCTAGCATTCTTTAGCCACTGCGGCCAACCAGACACATATAGGAAGGCAACAAACAAGACAAGTGCGCAGCAGCACGCTCTTGATCTCATGAAGGCCAGCTACTGGTCCTCAAGTGCACACTGCCTTTGATTCTGGATGATATATACAGTAGCCATCATGACTAGTCTCCGGTCTCCACCAGGTCTCCAGCTCCCATCATCCCCATCAGAATGGTTAATGGTGAGGAGGATGGGGGTTGAATTTTTTGGCTATTCGGAGGGCCACACACTAGCCACTCATAGTCTACACTCTGGGCAGATAAATCAAGATAAGGAAACTCTTGGTTGTGTTCTCTGGAATACAAGGGGCGCCATACAAACTAACAAACTGTATCTATTTGGAATTTTTAAAAAGGTAAAATAATAATATGCTCCATGGCTGAGGATTTTGGCACCCCAGATGGTTGTCCAGGGGAAGGGAGGTTGCTCAGTTGTAGAGCATCTGATTTGCATGCAGAAGGTCCTTGGTCCACCACCTCTGGTGGTGCCAGGGATTGAACCAGGGACCTTCTGCATGAAAAGCAGATGCATTTTGGGAATCCTGGAGAGCCACACCCACTCAGTGCAGACAGTGGTAAGCTAGAAGAACCAATGATCTGATTCAATAAGACAGCTCCTTATGTTCCTCGCTGGTCTCTGTCCAGTCCTGAAATTAGGATTTGAAGAGCAGCAGCCTAGCGGCCCATGTACATCCCCATGCCAAGGCTTTAAAAGTTTTGCTCAAGGATCTTGACTGTTCCTCCTCCCAAGTTCAACAAGCTACCCACGACCACACCACCATGTCTTTGTGAAACGTTCCGCTTAGCCTCACCTCCTCCTGCAATTATATCACCCTCTTCACTGATATGAGTGATTTTTCAATCAGCCTCTGATTTACAATTAAGTAGATGAGGAGAGGGCGTTGAAGGAGGGAACACAATCTATCTCGCTGGGTGGGCACAGCAGTGCAGCCCGTAGGGAAGAAAACCCAGGCATGCCGCAAAGGCACAGAAAACAGGGAGGTGTCTAGGAGGAGAAACACACTGCAAATAGCAGATAAGAGAATACAGCACTGAAGAATCGCAGCTGTATACATTGAAAACAAGTTTCGTATTTAAGATCAGAGAAAGGGGGTGCTATTTATTGCTGTGGGATATATATGTGTGCAAGGTCACATTTCATTCTAATGTTAGGGCTGCAACATTCATAGAGAATAAGGCTGTCAATAGCTACCAGCCATGATGGCTGTACAGTACCTGCAGGAGCAGATACAGGCTGCCTCTGAATACCAGTTGCAGGAGAACCTTTGTCCCCAGTTTCTGGGGAACCATTGTCTCATGTCCTGCTTATGGGCTTACCACAGGGAACTGGTGGGTTGCTGCAGGAAGCAGTGTGCTGGACAAAATAAGCAAGGGGACAACAATCCCCTCTGGACACGTCTTCCCCCTCCCTTGAGAAACAGAAAGAAGGGAAGTACAAGCAGGCAAACTGCCCAACAGGGCAGTTTATGAACGGGGTTTAATATGGCTGCAGCTTCCAGAACCTGTCTGAGACATGCAGCAACATTCTGCCTAAGCAGAAGCTTCCAAGCTGTCTTCAAGGCCAGCCCCACATGTAACGCATTGTAGTAACCAAGCCTGGAAATGAGCATGTATCAGTTTAACATGGCCTGACCTGTCTAATAAAGTTGGGGGAAGCATTATTGACAATCTCTGCCATTTGCTTTTCAAAAAGCAGTGCTGGATCCACGGATACCTCTGTTTTTTAATAAGAAAAACTCTGATGGGTGAAGCTGACAGCAATTCCATTGATCACAGCAGACCAATCTCCTCTAAACTACAACCATTTCTTAACTTATTTCTTATCTCTGCTTTTCCCTCGATTTTAACCCATTCTCCCTCATCTGCTGGGGGAAAAAAAACACACCTTGTGAATAAATTTCTCCTACAAACTTGACCCAGGGATCCAAAAAATGTACAATTTTTGCACTTGGAATATCAGAAGAAGCCAAGCACAAAACATTGCAATATGGATCAGGAAAGCTGCTGCAGTGCTCACTGAACCCTGTGCATGAGAAGTCACCAACACCCATAATCCATGATTTGTATACTACAAGGAGTGTTGAGTCATAGGAAATGTGGCTCTGTTGGCACCTCTAGAATCCGCGTTTCATGCTTCACCTCTCTCATTTTGCACCTTTCTTGACTGATGGAGGCTCCTCCTGGAGCGAATTAATGTTTCTGTAAGAAATGGTTTAAATTCTCCTGCCAAGGGCAGAGTTTACAACAGCTGCCAACTCTGCTGGCACTTAAGAAAGTAGTGCTGTTTTCGTTGCTCATCTAGGCAAGAGGGAAAGCAGAATTGCTTATCCTGGCAAGACTTTGCATGCCGGAACTCTGGGTGTGTCACTGTTCTGGGCTTAACTGCTTCCACTCATGAAGCATACTGAGAATGGGAACTCATGCAGAAACACAGATTCCTCCACGGATGCATAATATAAGTAAGGTCTATTCAGAAGTAAATTCCAAGTTGTGGTAGTTAAGACACACTCCCCCCTGAAAACAGTTAAAATGATGTTCAAAACCAAAAGCAACAAAACTCAACCATCCTAGATTAAAATGCCTAGATAAATAAAAATGATTTCGCTTGGAGCCCACTTCTGTAGGCTCTAGGCATCTCTTAAGTTGGGTACCAAAACACAAAAAGACTGTTCCCAGGTTACCAGATGCCTTACTTTAGCAGTCAGGGAAGCAGACCCAGAGAAGACCTCATCAGAATTCCAAGTTCATCTATTGAGTAAAAAAGGAACTTCCAGGAGTACACAGTAAGGGTAGAGCAGGGGTAGACATTGTGGTGCTCTCAATATGTTGCAAATTCCAACTTTCATCAACTCCAGCCAAAATGACCAATGCTCAGGGATGATGGGAGTTGTAATCCATCACATCTGGAAGACACCAGGTTGACAACCCTAGATTAGTCTATGATTAACATGGACGCGGATGGCGCTGTGGTCTAAACCACTGAGCCTCTTGGGCTTGCAGATCAGAAGGTCAGCAATTCGAGTCCGTGTGATGGGGTTAGCTCCTGTTGTTCTGTCCCAGCCCCTGCCAACCTAGCAGTTCAAAAGCATGTCAGTGCAGGTAGATAAATAGGCACCGCTGTGACAGGAAGGTAAATGGCATTTCTGTGTGCTCTGGTTTCCATCACAGTGTTCTGTTGCACTAGAAGTGGTTTAGTCACGCTGCTCACATGATCCGGAAAGCTGTCTGTGGACAAACACCAGGTCTCTCAGCCTGAAAGCGAGAAGAGTGCCGCACCCCATAGTCTCCTTTGACTGGACTTAATTATCCAGGAGTCCTTTACCTTTGCCTTTTTACCTTTAGTTTATGATTGGATCATGACAGGGGTAAGCAACCTTTTTCAGCCATGGGCCAGGCCACTGATCCTCAGACCATGTGGTGGGCTGGACTATATTTTGGGGGAAAATATGAACGAATTCCTATGCCCCACAAATAACCCAGAGATACATTTTACATAAAAGGACACATTCTACTCATGTAAAAACACGCTGATTCCCGGACCGTCTGCGGGCTGCATTGAGAAGGCAATTGGGCCGGATCTGGCCCCCGGGCCTTAGTTTGCTTACCCCTGGATCATGAGATCAACCTCTAGCAGCAGTACTACAATAATTCACTGTGAGAAGCTCAAGGCATTTTGTGGTTATTAAAGAGTTAGTCCACACAAGCAGGTAAAGGCATTCCTGGACTATACCACTCAAGACTTATAACAGGGGTGTGCCCCATAACTTCAAAACCAATTAAGACATCAGAATAGATGATTTGTGCTTACAATACAATTTCCTCCCCCCTCTTAGAAATATGATAACTTCATTTAAAACGCATGAGAGAATAAGAATGTCTGGTGCCGAAAATACATCAATGTAGGTGCCTGAATAATAATAATAATAATAATAATAACAACAACAACAACAACAATAATAATATTTTTTTATTTATACCCCGCCCATCTGGCTGAGAAATATGATAACTTCATTTAAAACGCATGAGAGAGTAAGAATGTCTGGTGCCGAAAATACATCAATGTAGGTGCCTGAATAATAATAATAATAATAATAATAATAATAATATTTTTTTATTTATACCCCGCCCATCTGGCTGAGTTTCCCCAGCCACTCTGGGTGGCTCCCAATCAAGTGTTAAAAACAGTACAGCGTTAAATATTAAAAACTTCCCTGAACAGGGCTGCCTTAAGATGTCTTCTGAATGTCAGGTAGTTGTTTATCTCTTTGACATCTGATGGGAGGGCGTTCCACAGGGCGGGCGCCACTACCGAGAAGGCTTTCTCTCTGGTTCCCTGTCCCTGAAGAACATTCCTGGGGAAACAATTCCACAACTGGGGCACCACTGATGAAAAAGCCATCTGTATATAAGGTTGCAGTCCTAAGCACTCTTTCCTGGGAGTTTGACCCTTTAGCATAACATCAGCCGAGTCCTGTGGAACACCCTGCCACTAGAGATTTAGCGGGCACCTTCTGTGCCAACTTTCAAATACCTGCTGAAAACATTTCTATTCCACCATCTCAAGCAATTACTGTAAGAGTGCATCCCCCACAATGGACTATTGAGGTTTGTTTTTAATTTATTTTTGCTTTTAATGTGTTTTTAACTTTTCATAATTTTCTTGTTTTGGTTTATGTTTTTATATTGTTGTAAATGTGTATATAATGGTATATACATATTTGTATAAATAAATAAGTTCCCCCAAATACAGCTGGACTTATTTCCTGGTAAACATGGAAGGATATTTTCTGTACGTCTTTGAAGCATACTAAAATGTTGCAGACATATCCCTTTGTCTTCTTCAGTAAGCAGCATCTGGGCTAAGAAAGACCCAGGGTTGTTGGTGACAGTATTTTTAATTGTAATTTCCCAGCAAATCTCTTCTGCAAATAATTGTTTTGTTTTTGTTACTGCTGCTGTTCTCAGTCTTAGCTAAAATAAATAAGAGCCTCCACCTCCTGCCTGTAGAGATGGGGACATTTAATTTACGGCAATTTCCCTCACATCAATTTCCATGACTTTGCCAAAACAAAGCATGATGGATCACAGCCTGTATCTGCATTTATGCTAAAGTGTGTGCAGAGCAAGCCATGTCGGACACAGCAAATATGTGAGCATCATCAAACTGCCTTTGCGGCATCAGCAGCAGACCCTAGAATGCCATCATTCTACCTGCCAGCCTAGCTGTGCAAATAAGAAGACCGTCTAACTTCAAGCTGCTTTTAAGTACATGCCCTCCAACATTTCTCTAATGAAAATAGAGACAGTCTATTCTACGTCAGGAAGCTTCTCCCACGTTTGATCTCTTGATGCATAGGCATCATAAACACATCCACTTCTGTCACCTAGAGCCAATTGCAACCTCTCTGCCTAGCCTACCTCACAGAATTGTTGTAAAAAAGAAAATTGTGAGGGAAGAAATCATGTGCAACACCTTCAACAGATAGATGGAATGAAATACTATTGTAGCTGTAAGCTGCCTTGATACCCTGACAGGG